TGTGATACTCCATTCATGCTGGATCTGTGGATGCACTGCACAGACAGCAGGAACCCCAAGAAGCAGTGACAGTTGTTTAAAAGATGCTCTCACATGCTGCTGGGATGTCTAGAGAGCTCACGGGACTGTAAACATACCACAGCCACTCTACGCCAGGCTCTCAAGTTTGGATCAAGACCAAGTGACAAGCAGTTGTGGAGCATTCTTGCATGGTGGAGGGGGAGAGTTTAGCTCAAATGTTAAGTGTTAATATAACTTTCCCTTCAAAACTAAAAAAAAGAAAAAAGAAAATGTTGATTGCTATACTTGTGATTGTTACTTAAGACCATGTACAAAGAGGATTTTTAATCAACCAATATTCGCATCCACTGGTAGGTTAGACGCATGTACATTCTGGAAAGCCGAATTAACTCCTGCTGTGCATTAGCGACTGGGTCATGGCTACGTGGGAAGGCAGAGCTAAGCTGTGGCTGGCCTTACAGATGCAAAATTAAGCTGTCAGACTGGCTCATGACACTGGAAGATGGACAGGTGTGCTATGAGAACATGTGTTTCTAGGGCAAGAAACAGCAGGTGGTGGCCTCCAGCACTCTGAACACGTGTGCCCCTTCATGGTACAAATGATCCACCTTTCTGAAACCTGTGAGCAAACAGGGTTTTTGCTCTCCTTTAACCTGGCTCTGTCCCTCACTGAAGGATGCAAGAGGCAAAATGCCCAATTAAAATGATATACATATGCCTTGCAGCTGATTTCAGAAGACATGGGTCACTGTACTGTTCTCAGTAGCCACGGGTAATACGATTTTAGGGAAACAGCATAGTTTTATCAACTCTAAACTCTTTTTCCAAGTAGCAGTTAGGTTGGATCACACTTCTCCAGCATAATGGGCATCTTTACACATGCTGGGGGGAGGAACATTTTAATTAGCATCTTGGGAGCCACTCGATTTAAAACACCCAGAGCGTCCCGTATATTCAGCATCCCACATTTCAAAACGGCAGTGGGGGCGCTTTGACTAAAGCTTGTTTGACGAGCTTTAGTCAGTCAAAGTGCCCCCGCTGCCATTTAGACCCTGAATACCTGGTGCAGAGGCTGCTGGAACACGTTAATTAGACTCGATTAATTGAGTTTGTGCCCTGCATTCCCATTAGCAGGTTGGGGCAGGTGTCGGGCACCTGTATAGATGCCCAATATTTTCATTTTAAGCTCCTCTAGTCCAGCGGTTCTCAACCTTTTTTGCACCAGGACCCACTTGTAAACATCGAGAGCCAGTCCCGACCCAGTGCCCCCAGTGTGTGGGGCAGAGGGTGGGTGTATGGGGCATGGGGGGACCCCAAGCAGCCCCTCGGAGGCTGGGACTCTGCCAGCCTGCAAAGGGAAAGCCACCGTTTCCCCCTTTAAAAGAGAATCCATCTTTTAAGTTTGTTCATCACCCTTTCATATATTCTTGTGACCCACTTCGGGTTGAGAAACACTGGTCTAGTCAATACGGTGCTTTAGCCAGTCAATACCACAGGCTCATATATTGCTCCGACTGGCAGACCGGATCTCCTTATGCAGACCAGGCTCTGAAAGAGACCAGCAGCAAGGTCCACCCCTTTACAACACAGGGACAATCCTTCCTCTCTCCTTGGTTCATAGCACTTTCCATGATATTGTGCGTTTCTCCCCAAAAGAAAATCGCTGTGTCGCCTGCTCTTCTCCTTCCCCTTTATAATCACCACATACAGCACTGATCTCATGCATTTATCTTTAGGCAGAGTTTTACAGAAGTACCGCCAGGCCTAGAACAATTTCTGCAGCAATTAATATCTGACTTCCTACCAAACAATTCAATCTGAAGAGTCCAAAAGCAGCAGCACCAATGGGAAACTGCAATTGGGACAGGAAAAATGAAGGTGGCTTGCAGTGCACTCCCTGTCTTCTGAGGGCATTTGGGCCTTGTGCCATCCCTGTTTTAATGTTCTGGTTTCCCTGCATCCTAGGAAGGCAATATACCCATCCAAATACAGCCACGGTACAAATGGCACATGCCCCGAATCCACTCCCTATATCAAGAGCTGGAAGCTGCAATGGAGCACCACCAGCCGGGGAGGCTACCAGCACAGGATGTATTCGGAGCACCACCTACGTGCACACTTACAGACCCATTTATGCTGCCAGAATGGGGTGAAGGCACCTTATGGCTTGTATACATAAAGAAAATTTCCACCAATGTACTATGTAATTAATGACATCACTGAAAACCCCCCACAACAATGCAAGGTAGGGCGTGTGCTGGTATCACTTGACTCATGATTGCCCAGTTTGTGGCACATGTACCACAAGGGGCACAGCCGGCCTGTGTGTGGTATGCAGGAAATCGGGGAAGGGGGCTGGGAACACAGCAACAGATAGGACAGAGAGCAGTAGGTCAGGCAGGGAGCACAGGGCATGAAGCTGAAAGCAGAGCAGCAGTGGAGTGGCACTAGGGGAGGGTTTACCTTGTGAAACAACAGTGGCATAAAGGCTGGTCCTTATCAACTCAGCTGAATACTCTTCTGCCCGCCCTGCTTTGTAACGCATGCAGCTTGTCTGCATGAAGACCTTTTGCCACTCTAACTAATTGGATGTTGTTTTTCGCACAGACAACTTAGGAGACGCGCAAGCCAAGCACATTTCTACAAAGCTACTGTTCAAAGTGCACACGTACAGTCTCTGCAGCATCTGCTCTTTTCCAGCGGATCCAACAAACAGCGACCTCTCCTGCCCCCGGTGCATCTCAGATATGCAGCAAGGAAGAAAGCAGCAATTTTATCCAGGGCCCCTTGTCATTTCAGCAGCAGCAGGGTAGTGTTTTTAGCAGAGCAGCAGCTCTGGAGGGAGGTTCAGACACACTCACAACAAAAGCCTCACATAATTGCCTCCAAGGGCCATAGAGAACTGAAGGTAAACACCCAGCCAAAGGTGCGTTCTTTACTGAAAGCATTAGCTGCATCTCGCACATTTTTAAAGATAATCTCCTAAACCTCCAGCAAAACTGGTTATGGACCCCCTAATTCAGGAGTCTGAACTTCAAGCACTGGGCTTGCTGGGGTCAGTGCAGAGAGGTTACAAGAAGGGTTTGCTTTCAGCCCCGACCAGGGGAACTCTTTTCATAGTTTTTAGGGGCTGGAAGGGACCTTACAGATCCCCTGCACATGGGCAGGAAAGACCGCTGGGATCAGATGACCCCAACAAGACAGGTGTCAAGATGCTTTTTAAAGATTGCCTCTTTGTTTACTTGTTGCCCTAGAGATCTCTGGCCCAATTATAGAAAAAAAAAGAAAAAAAAAAGCATTAGCTGCAAAATAGCACGAACTGTCAATACAGATCAAACTTCTTACAGTGGGCTAAACATGCTTTCTGTGCAGAAACTCCCCGTTTTTCTGATCAACCGGACGCTGGGAGTATTCTCCGGGCTGGGACGGGAGGAAGCTGTGCCAGGGAGCCAAACAGAGCCCGGAAAATGCTGTGCTGCTCGACAGCCCGAGCCACTCCGGGAAACCTGGCAACTAACCACTACGTGGAGTCTGCTTTCAACCTACACACAAAGAAGTAGAGGGGTTAAGCTGGAAGTGAACTAGTTTAGTGCTCAAATGCGACTGCACAGCTTCTAGCACGTCACTTTGTGTGCTGGCCCCCCATCCCGATGCATGTGCCAGACGACGGTGCAATAACTTCCTGCTCAGCACGCCTGGATCTCGACTTAGCTCTTCGGCCCGAGCCAAGAAATCACCAGCTGAAAAGGAAGCCCTCCCCACCCCAGCACACAGGAGGCCGATCCCGAGCCAATCTGGCAGGAATGCAGACAACTTGCTTTATTTTAAAATGTTAAAAGCGCGTGACCGTCCAAAGCCAAGTCTGATGATTGATTCGCTTTCTGTTTTATTCATCTAAGATATGGAATTTACACTGTTCTGAGAAACTGGTTCATAAATACACGCAGAGACTTGGGAGAAAGCCCAAACCTTTGACCAGGAAGAAAGCAAGACGCTATCGCTTGGGCCCAATAAAAACAGATGGCTTGGGGAATTTTATCTCCTAGTAAAAATCCCCTCTGCTCCGAAACTTGGCAGTGAAGGAAAATTACAGCTTGGAGAGTGGCTCTTCTTTTTTTCGTTTTACATAAAGAAATCCTAAAGCACGGGCTATTAAGAGAGAAGGTTTCCTTTTTGATCACTACACAGGGGAGGGAGTTGTCCCAAACTTTGATGGAGGATCTTCTACCGAGGTAGCCAACACTCGCCTAGACGTAAATCCCAAGCTTGAAAGCGAGCGCTGCTCCCGCTGACCCGCACCATCTCCGCCCGCTCCAGATTCAAAGGGGGAGGCGGGAGCTCAGGAGAAGGAATAAACCCAAGTCGCAGGTACGACAGCCCGAGGCACACCTTAAACAACCCGGTGGCACGAGAGCCGGCAAGCTCAGCAGTCAAGCAGATGCGTTTGTCTTCACCACGCAGGAAACGCAGACTCCTCCGTCTCGTTTCTCGTTCGCGACTAACTGAAAACAAACGCGCAGACACCCCCAAAACACCCGCCCAACACAGCTGTCCTACGGCGTGCAAACCAGCGCTTCTCGACCCCGGGCGCCCCACAGTAAACGCCAGCCCTTCCTTTCCCCCTCCATTTCTCCCGAAGGAAAAGTAACGGAGCCCGGTGCCGAGAACTCGCGAAGCCCCAGCTCCCAATTCCTGCTGGAAATCTCCAGGTTCCTCTCCCGAGCCACGTCCTGCCGCTGATGCCACACGGTGTCCATGGCACCGCTCGCTCGGGCCTGCCCCAAGCCAGTGCAAGGGGGTCCATGTCCCCACGTGGCACTGGGAAACCAGCCACACCAAGCCCCCCATCTGCTGCTCTGTCCCCAGGCCCTGCACACGTTACTTATATGGTGCGAGCGCGGTAAGCGCTGAAGCGCCATAAAGGCAGAGCAAACACACGTGAGGCGCAACACCCCCCCTCCTGCCCGCCCTGACCTGACCTGCCCGCGGGGATAGTCCCGGCGCTGGCGGAAGAGTCCCGGCCCGTCCCGCGCCGCCGTCATGCGCCCCGCAACTTCTGCGTGTGTCGCCCCCAGCTCCGCGCGCGCGCCACAACACTCCGCCTCCGCCGCGCCGCGCCGGCCCTACTTCCTCTTAAAGGGGCCGCGCTGCCGCCCGCAGGCTCCTCCCGCGGGGCGGGGAGCCGGCTGCACCGGAGTGAGGATGATCTTGCGGGTTACACTGTAATAACACACATTTTCACGCCTGCCCAGGACTTTCACCATCTTTTGCCATCTCCTCCGCTGGATGCAGGGGGGAAGCTTGCAAATCAAGAATGTCGTGTTGGGTTTTTTTAGTTGCAAAAAGCTACTTGGTCTAATAAAAGAGATCCCCTCTGCCACCGGTTCTGATGGCTTTGGCCATAATTAAGGCATTGGGGCGATCGTTTCAACCCTTGCCCCATCGATAATAGTGAACCTTCACATTAGATCTGATTTTGCTGTGGATTTATGTACGACGCTGTCATCGAGTCATGTCTGCATTTACTACCATATTTCTATTAGTTATGTTTTTATGTTGGTGGGCTCTATTTTAGCATCATATCTAGTATGTTACAGTACAACATATAGGATTTAGTATAAAGTAGTTCAGTTACTTTGTTCGGACTTATTTCTGTTATGCTCGTATGTAGGTGGTGTTGTTTGGGGGAGCATGGCATTTACCCAGAATCCTTAATAATAGCAAAAATGTGCAAAATGTGGGATAATTCTGGAGGCAGCATCTGCCAAGCCCATGGGTGTTCACCAAATTCTGGGTTTTGTTTTTTACTTAATTTGTATCCGGGGCCAAATGAGCCAAAACTAATTCCAAATCCAAGAGTCCAGAACCAGAAGTGGCCCTTACTACCGGCAGACATCCTCCACCCATGCCTGGGGCTTCAGATGCTTCCTGGGGATTTGTCCTTTGGCAGGCATCCTACTTGCAGGCCCACGCCCGGAGGCTGGGGGTTCGGATGCCCCGAGTTTTGCGTGCCCTCAGCCATATGGCTGCAGAAACAAGCTAGGGAAGAGTCTCCTATTTCCATGAAGTCCGCGTGTAGCCGAGAACTTCCCACTGGAAGTGAAAGTGGGAAGTTAACTATGCATTCCCTCGGCCAAGGCCGAGAAAGTGGTTTTCCCCTGCCAAAGTAGGAAAACCACCTTGGTGGTCACGGGAATCAAAGAAATGCTAAGGAGCCACGAAGCCAGGCGATGACCCCCTGAGATTGGCCATGCACCCCCTGGAAGCGCCAGCTGCGAAACTGGAAGTGCACTTCTGGTTTCACCGCTGGCTTGGCTATCAGCTGCTGGGGGACCCCCCCTTTGGCGATCTGGTGCCCCCCCCAGATTTGGGAGGCACCAGTCACCCATCCCCTGGCGGGTGCTTGGCTTCCACCTGCGGGTAGAGTGGGGCTCACAGGGGGGTGAGCATGGGGAGCAGCGTCTCCGTGGCCCCACCCGGAACCCAGGCTCTGTGACGCCCGGAACCGTGGGCGGCGGCAGCAGCGGGGCTGGCGGAGGCGATGGGCACGGCTCGGTGGTTGCTGGGGCTGTGGGTGGCGGCGGCGTTGGGTGTCACATGGGGCTGCCTGCAGTGTGACCCCGGCTTCACCACCCACTTCACCACCTACATGCCCCGCTTCAGCCTGTGGCCCTGGGGGCTGGGCGGCAGGTCGGAGGTGACCAAGCTGCTGCAGGCCTGGCCCGGTGACACGCTGCAGGAGCTGGAACTCAGCATCCCCGCTGAGATACGTAAGCGAGTGGCTTGGCCCCGGGCATCATCCCCAACACGGCCCCTGCCAGGCCCCATTGCCACGGGACCCGGGGTCTGCAGTGCAGGAAGGGGGTGCAGGAGACGCAGGCATCACACCAGAGGAAAGCACACATTTTTTTCCAGGCGAAAAGAAACTTGATGCTGCTGTCACCAGCCAGGGGCCTGGGGGTGAGCTATTTAGCCTAAGGGGGAAGCATGAACCAGCAGGGCATCCTGGGAAGGAGTTCAGTGCTTGGTTGCGGGGCTGCGGAAATGGGCGGACGAGAACCTGATGGTGTTTAACACCGAAAAATGCAAGGTTCTCCACCTTGGGAGGAAAAACCTGCAGCATCCTTATAGGCTCGGCAGTGCTACGCTGGCTAGCACTACGGAAGAAAGAGACTTGGGGGTCATCATTGACCACAAGATGAACATGAGCCTGCAATG